ACATATGTTTAGACATTTTATAACTTGATTTAACATATGTTTAGTCATTTCATATCTTGATTGAACATATGTTTAGGCAGCTCGTATCTTGAATCAACACATGTTTAGGCATTTTGTATCTTGATTCAACATATGTTTAGGTTTTTCATATCTTAATTCAACACATATTTAAGCAGTTCATATCTTGATTCAACATATGTTTAGGCATTTCATATCTTGATTCAACATATGTTTAGGCATTTCATATCTTGTTTCACCCACCGCCTTCTCCAGAATACGCCTACATCATATCCGGGAGGCCGACGTTCTTCATCGACCGGTGTGTTTGCATTAATGCTCAGTTGCTGTGTTGTGGATACTGCTCCATTAACTATGTTCAATCGTTTTGTGGAGTGTGGTTGTAAAAATGCCTAGGAAATGTTGAATTTCTTTGTGTAATTATGAGTGTATCTTAATTTCCAAGTGATTCTGATTTAAAGGAGAAATGGAAAAAAAGTGCATACCACGTAAAGAATAGTCCGACTAAATACACAGCGTGGTATGTCGTCGTTATCATTTTCGTCCCTGTGATAGGACTGTCAAAGGCCAATTCCCCAATCCCAAATCCTGTGCACAGCAACTGCGAGGTGTCCCTGTTCCAAGGCGCAAAACAAGACCCGCTCTGGGGACCACTCTCCTGCTCTGTTGATAAGAAACCGTTACGCCAGGCCGTTCCTTAAAATGCGCCTTCTCTACCAGCTCTCCGGGAACCCCACAGTGGGACGGCATCCACTGCACAATTAACCTTACACCAGAACTCGTAATGGCTCTCCTTTTCTCTATACTTCTTTTTCAGCATTCCGAGCCCTTAAGGCTTATTGCTGCAGATATCACCCGCCTCCATTTATCTCTCTGGTTGGCCTTCTCTTTCCAGTTGGTGACACCAAGTGTTTGCAGGTCTGTCTGCACGTTATTTTTGTCTCTCCAATTCTCCTTGGTCTGCCTCGTGGTCTATGACTATTTAGCTTCCTTGTTTTACTAGAAATATTAATTCCCAGCACGCTCCTCGATCTTTCAGCTGGAGTCTGCAAGATTCGAATCCTTATTGTCCAATCTTCGATGGACATTTTGCAACTTTCTTGACGTCTCTCTCAGGGGGTCGGGAAGGAGGCGGTAGGGCTGCTTAGTCTCGAGACATGGTGTCCGCCTTGAGTGAGATTTCCTTGACGTGGACTCAGATGTCTAGTAATTTCCCCTGGTCTCAGGGTAGTGAGATCGGACGCCCATGTGTATTGTTGCGCACGTAAAAACTCTCCTGGTCGTTCGAAATCGAAAAGAGTAGCCTAGCGGCGCTGCCCGTGCAAAATATGGAGTTGAAAATCTACCCTAAGTATTTCAGGATCATCGCCGGCGCTACAGAGCCTGTGCTGAGCTTCTTCGGACTCACACTTGAGTTAGAAGAAGAACGGAACACTTATGGGTTACTTACCCGTGTGCCACGATGTTGATCCGTTGCCAAAAACCTGACATCTCTCTAAGTTTACAACATAAATCATTACCTGATTACAACAACTTCGTTAGCCATAAAATTGTCTGCAACTCTCCAGTTGGAAACGATGAGACGGTGAACATCGTTGTCGGTAAATAAATGACTCTCACCGGCATCTTCCTTGTCAGGTGGAGTAGGTGTTCATATTTCTCGCCAGCTTACTCTAATTTGTGTTCTTGATTACTTCTATTGACGATGTTTGTTCAGGCTATCAAGGGTTTTCGCCCCGTTGGCAAGCATTTGTGCAACCATGCTCCCTTGAAGTTACGACTAAGGCCTTGTATTAATTTGTGCTCAAACCCACGCTTTCTCACTTATCTTCATTACATGTCCTACTATTGCTTAAAAATACATACACACATGCATAAATACTATTATACTTCTGCGTTGGCTCTTAAAAGGGCGGTTAGCATGTTGTATTGTGGTTTGAAGCTAGGCTGCGATATCTATGCTTTTCGATCTTACATATGCGATTTCACTAAACCCTAAAATAGGGGGCAGTGGATCAGTTATTTATTTTTTTTTACTCAAAATAAGACCCTGAACCACAATAGGTATACTTACTTACTGCCTTTTTCTTGCAGATCTTTGTTTTCGGTTTTTTCGACGGAACAATATCACGGTACACCGATACAATCCATAAGTGCTCCAATCTACTTCGAACTCAACCATGGGTCTGAAGAATCTCAGCGCAGCGCACGAACCTCATTGCACCGGCGAGGATCTTGGAATACTTCGGGTCGTTTAACTCCAATTTTTTCGATAACCAACTGCCAGTTTTTTTTACGTCCGCAACAATACACACAGGGACCGATCTTACTACCCATAGACCAGGGAAAATTATTTGGAGTCCACGTGAAAAAATCCCAGATTTCACCGGGTATGAATCCAGGATCCTCCAGTACTCGAGGATTATGTCTGTATAAATAGCTTTTTATAGCCTTTATACCTTTTTACCCCCTACGTATTTAGGAATATATGTAGTTACAACCAGCTGGTAGCACATCTCATTATACTACACATCGCTGTATTTCCTTTCCGAAAATACAGATATCGATCACCTCGGCTATTTTAGAGACAGGATTTCAGTAAAGAGGGTAACAGGGAGTTGAAGGAAGGGAGGTTAGCCCAGTAAACATTTTTTTTAAGGATCCCAAACTAAAGGAAAAGTAGAACCAGTTAGCTTGACAATATTGCAAACCCAGACGACAAGTGAACGTTGTGGTCAGAGAGCCTTCCTTAGCACATATATAAAACTACAATTATGAATAGGAATACAGAAAATCACTTCTAACGTTTTATCCAAAGGAAATCACTTTTATATGTTTGTTAACAATTTACTTTTTGAATTCTAATGTATGAATAATACAAAAGTCAGACCTTTCTATAAGTTCTATTCATTGCATCGAATGTTGTATGTTTTATTTTTTTTAACGTTTGCTCAGAATACGTCTGCTTTTGGGGGCCACTATTGTGTTTGCTTTAATAGAAGTCAAATATATATATATACAGTTTTATATATACAGTCTAGTCTGGATAAGTAGAAGTTGCATGGACCTAAGAAAATGCTTCCACTTATCAGGATTTCTACTTATCCAGACAGCACACACAATAGAGACAAAGATGGTCATGTCGACTCGACTCTATATATATATATACATACACAGTATATATAAAGTCGAACAGTAGGAAATTAAGAAAATCTTATTCAATAAATCATGTAATAAACAATTAACAGAAAGGAATTTTCGCTGTGCATAGTCCTATCTAAAGTGTAACTGTGAATCTGAAAACGTAGTAAATACAAACATTCTTTATGTAAGGGCTGGGTTTAAAACAATTTGTAAATTTTTGATTTTGCTGCACTGTGCACTCAAACTGGCATGTTTGCAGATCGGAACTCACCGGAAGCGGCCAGTGAGTCAAAAAGTTTATATAACGCTCTTTTTGGTCTCCCAGTTACCTTAGGGACAGTTAGCCCTAGCTTTTGATGCAGTACTGAACAGGGTTCTCAGCACAATGTAGGTACGGGTGAGAGAGATGAACTGGCTCACTCGTTTTGTGATGGTATGTTCACTAGTTAGCAATTGGTCTGTTTGAACATGTTGATTGTTAATATATTGTTACCTTCAAAGAATGCTTAAACGGTGTTCAGAAAAATAGACAGATGCTGAATGTGATGATTATATTCCTTTTTTTGAAATTCAGAATAGAACTTGTAGTTCATGCACATGGTCTGGCTAGGCGCTGCCTTTGTAATGTGTTGCAATTGGTGTGCATGTCACTATTCACTGCTTGAGCCATTAGTAATACTTCATGTTCCTGCATCAGAAGAATCTTTGTCTTTCCTTTATTTCCCCCGCTGTTGCAGTCCAGCTGGGAACTACCTATTGTTCTAACAATGTTTTTTTTATCTAGCTCCCTCCTTGTTTTACCCTTTCGCTTCCAGCTAGCTCAAAATGGTGCCTGATTTGTTTTTTTTAAAAATCTATGTAGGTTCCCAGGTAAGTAAAAGTAAAGATCCCTTTTCATGCCTTTAGGCGCATCAGGCATTTGGGAAGAGCACCCACATTTTTATAGACCAATCGGCACTAGGTGGGTCATCATTACGCTAGCCATCTTTACTTCACCAGGACATACATCCTGGTACCCATGTTAGGTTGGTGTGACCTGCAACACCCCATACCATTATAAATATCCCAGCAGCCAGCAATGGATTTCCATCAGCCAATATCCTGCGAAATGAAAGTGCTGGTGTGATGTTGGCCACTAAGTGATTAGATTATAACTATATTGGAGTGCAGGAAAAAAAAAAAGGACCCTTTTCTACGCCTTCAGGAGTGCTAGACCTAAATCTTTAGACTAGTCAGCCCTTGGTGGATTCTGTGGCAAACATCACATCGGCCACCAGTTACTTCCCAAGACTATACTTGGCACCCCTTTAAGGTTTGGCAGATAAAGTTAATTTTTTTTTGGTTTACAGTCTGGCAACATCAAAACCAGAACCCCCTACATGAGGCTGACTCAACACCAGCCTACAAACGTTCCAGTTAAAGAAAAAATAACATTGTCAGGTGATGTTATGTCAGCTTACTGTTAACTAATAATAATAAAGCCCCCCTCCCCCCATGTTTCCTGGTGACCATTTATCCAACCTTGAGCTTTATGTTAATTAATGCCTGCTCCATTAAGGATCTGAACCCAATATCTTTAGACCAACAGACAAGCATCTAATCACTGAGATACATAACCTCCTAATGTACAGGAGAAACAAAAATGATATCACAAATTACAAAAACAAAACAAAGATGCATAACAAAAGCATTTTATTACATCAACAGAAATGATAACAGTGGTGATCATGTGAAGATATGGTGACCCATGACCCGTATATGTAACTGGTTCTACATGTCAATAAAGCCACAAAATAAAACAACCAAAGTGAAACAGTCAGTCAGCTGGTGATGAAAAGTTAGGCAGATTCTGTTGGTTCCTCAGTTTCATCTGCACCATTTGATGATACTTCAGCATCTTTTGAATCAGTCTTCACCTTTTTATTTGGACTTTCTCCCTCACCATCTTCAGTTTCCTGATCCTCTGCTGGTCTTTTTTCTGTTGTACTCTCCACATCTGAAAGTGTTGCAACAGGACTAATTATACAATTATAACTCTCCACATCTGAAAGTGTTGCAACAGGACTAATTATAAAACAATTTAATTTATAAATGGTTAACATTTTTTTCTACACTCTGACATCTCAATTCTTATTTTTTGTAAGTATTAAGAACCCTACCAGGTAGCCTGCACAACGGAAGGCTTTGAAACATCATTAGGCCCACTTAAGGAAATATTCTGGCTTTTTTCCTGGCTACTTTACAGCTCATTTTGGTAAATATGTGTTTAATGCATTCTCATAAAACCCAGAGCTTGACGGTTTTTGACAATATGACTGCCAATGATATGTTTTAAGTGATAAAGATCCAACAGTGAGAACTGTGAAAATGCAATGAAAGGTAGCTCCCAAACAGTCGACTCTTACGACATGCGTTTTGGGTAGGCAGTGAGCCTATTCTTGTTTATTCTTGTTAATAGGGCCCCAAAACCCACACGTGGATGTAAGAGAAGTAGCTGCCAGCACTATGAAATAAATATCACCAGCGAGAATTTTCCAATATTCAGATCAGGGCTATTTAACTAAGTTCCCTCAGGGGCCAACATTGTGAAAACAGGGATTATGATGGGCCACAGCCTAAGCAGAGTCAGACCATTAATACAAGTGACAATAAACAGCAGGCCACTTGCTAGCCATCTGCAGGCCAGACTTGGTCCCCGGGCCGCCAGGTGAACAGAGACCTGGTATACACGGTCTGCTCTAAATTTATGATAAAATCAACTGTCACCAGGAATTAAAACAAAATGTTAGGCCTTCCCATATTCTAGACTAGTGTTCTGTAACCCTTTTATACACGAGGACCGGCAACTAACCAGTGTAAATCTCTTCTCACATACAAGAGTTTATTCAAGAAAAAACAAGATTAACAACCCCCCCCCCCCCCCCCCCTTCAAAGCCCAGCAATTAGGCTTATTAAAAGCAGTCTTCTAAGTTAAATAATCAAACCTGTAATAGATGTGTTTGATTCTGAAGTTTCTGGGTCAGCATTTCCATTTGTGCTGCCTTTATCAGTGTCTTCCGACAGAATCTCCCCATCAACTTCAGTTTCCTCTTCTGTGGTACTTTTCACAACCTGGATAATTAAGTCATTAGTTAGTGACACTAAAAATAGGCCATTGAAACATGACTAAGGAATTTAATATTCTTATGTGGGCAAAAACAAGAAAAGCTTTCTGCAGAATTATTAGAGAACATACATTTTTACTGACATAAAATCAATACACAACATAGACATTTCTCTCTTCTTAGCGATCACTGGATGTAAGCCCCCAGAGAAAGTTCTAGTTGTTTTTCCACTTGTGGACTGGTTTTTTTTTTCCCAGAGTTCTGAGTGCACATCCAATTTACACAACTAGCTTATTTGTAGCCAGACTGTTGGTTTCTTGCCTCGCATGTTGATGCCTAGACTTTGAAAAAACACTTATAACGTGTCACCTCCTATGCCATGCTTGTTGGGGGAGGGGCAGTATGGCTTTGTTCCCTACCCCCCCCCCCCCCATGGGGCACTAGAATACACAGACATATGTCAGATCTTTCCATAGCTGTATGGCAGCGGATTGGATGCCAAGATAAATCATGATTTGACACTACTGTTTTCATAATCATTTAATTTAGTGTCACAATTTTTTTTTAAATCATGCTAAAATAAAGGCTGAGCTTTAAAAAAATTATGACAGGTTAATGGACTAATTCAAGAACCAGCTTTCAATAAACTTGAAATTATATAAATTAGATTTATCACAACTGTTAATAACTGGCTAATAAACAAGCAAATACTAAATCAGTAGTGAGAGGTCTCAAGAGAATTAGTTTTCGCATGCAGTTGTATTATGTATGCATTAACTATTGACTGACACATTACTGTTATAATTATGTCATTACAATCGCTAAACTTATTTACTGTTTTCGGTACAAGGTAGCTATTCTACATTTAACTTCCTTAATACATCTTCCATCTGATATCAGGGTACGCAAGTACTTAAACATATCACCTTGCTTGAGTCTTGCCCCATTTACTTTGATGTTGCATTCCTGAGGGTCAGTTTTCTTTGTATTTATCATAATTTCTGCTGTTCAAACTAAGACACACTTTTCACATCTCTTTTTTGCAATTGCATTTCATCCAGTCATGTTTTTTTGTATATACACACGGTTGATCTGGCTTTAATTCCAGTCATGTGGCTTGCATCTATCAGTGAAGGAGGTATATACACACAGACCTGCTGATCTGGTACTTAAAGTCATATTTCACAGGGAGCAAATGTGGTCAAGAACCTCTGGGAACAAGCAACAGAATCAGTAGAGACAGAGGATTATCATGGCCTGGAGAGAATGAGGCATCTGAGTGTAAACCAGAGGCTCTGGCCGGCTCACTACACCCAGAGGAGAGGCAAGACAGACATATAACCAGACTGTGACAGGTACCATCAGTATTGAAACTGCGCTGGCTGCTGAAGATGAGGACTGAGCCTGCATGGGAATGCCCCGAGTGATGTGATGTCAATTCTTGACCCACCAACTCAACTCATTCACAGGGAATTTTTTAAAAGCTCTGCTTTCCAAGTTCAGAAATCACATGTGTGCGTGCAAGGCAGGAAATTCTCAACCCGGCAGTCCGAAACCCAAGTTCAAGGTGTCTCCTTCGTGCCAAAGAACTGCATGGCTGTTGGGTGAACAGTCGTTAACGATGGCAGGCAGGTCGTTGTAGGGGCGACGCCTGCTGGTGGATGTAATGTCCTAAGTCCCTTCCCCAGCTAATAATGAGGGTACTGCTGGGGTGACCGTTTATTAAACCCTCATATAATGCTTCCAGTCAAAATGGACGCTAAGCACCGCCACCTTTTTTTTTTTAAAGCCGTGGCAAATGTTTTTTTTTTTTCTTTTGCCAGACGGTGGCCGTTGCATTTTTGCTCCATTTATAGACTGGAAGGATGTAGTTTCGTCGCCCAGCTTCTGAGTTGAGTGCATGGCGTGACACCGTGAGCTGTGTTTGTTTTTCGTTGGCACAGGAGCGGAGCAACTGTGGGGTGACCCGTTTGCTATGAAGCTAAAACTAGGATTACCAGATATTATGATCAACAAGTTAACACAGGCTAACTGGAATTTGTCAATGTCTCTTTTAAAGATTTTAAGTATTTCACTTTTAATACTTAACTCCTGACCCAATCAATACAGAAAGCTTAGATACAAGTAAAATTATTACATTTTCTTCTTCCCCTTTAACGCTTTCAACTGTCTTTGCCACTATAGGTTCTGTGGTTTCTGGTGCTTCTGCAGCAATTTCAACTCTGAAAAAAATATTTAAAAAATGGCAAAGCAGATAAGAAACATTGTTGAAATTAATGATAACTCTTTTCAGTACCAACTGGCATATCTACTTATATATGGTCATCTTTTTCATGCCCAGGAAAGTAATTTGCCACCATAACAGTTTTAAATTTAACTTTAAAATGGACTGATCAGAGTGATGTACAGCTGAAAGAGAAATGAAAACCGATTTTGTTCTTCTCAATCTGTTAAAATGCATATCTAGCAAAATCTTTGGAGGTCGTCGCAACAGAATTGGATCTTTATGCAAAGCTTTCATAAGAAAGTTGAATCTCTTGTCTCAAAACATTCTTTGCAGGGTGCTCTCATCATAGCCACAGTAAGATCCTTTGCCAGTCAACTGCCTCAAACATTAGCCCCTGGAACTGGATAGAAATATTTACAATAAATTGCCACAGACACACACAATGCTGTCCAGACCCTTAACTTGCACTCGCAGCTTAGAAATCAGAGCCCAATACAAGTGTGATTCTTGGTCAGACACTGTGACCAACTCTTCTCCTCAATCACATTTGTCAAGCACTCTAATAGTGTCAGCTTGCACCCTCCAGGACCTTCCTCTTTTCAGTGTGTGGATCCTTAGCTCTACCTAGGGCTTCACGTTCATACAGGAGGTGCTTGTCTGCAGTAACTCTGAAATATGTTTTTGCTTGTATTAGCCAATCTGCAATTAAAATTAGGCAGGACAAGCTTTTATCACATACACACAACCGTAACTTCTGGAACATCCCTTGTACATACTGAATTACCCTACCCGCATGACGTTCAAGTTTCATCACCTGACTGATATTGTAAGCATTTGTAGTCCATAATCTATCCCAGACAGAAAAACATGCTAAAACATTGTGAACAAAATCCTTTGTTCTGTGTCAATTTTGGCTGCCATAATCATGAGAGCATTGAATCCTCTTCAGCATCTTCCTCTGCAACTGCCTCCACATGATCCCTGAAGGACAGGCTTCTGTTGAAGAGGATACCCAGTTTGCACTCTCTTTTTATGTTTACACCATTAAATTTAATTGTTAGCTCTTACAATTCAGAATTGAATTCTATTGTCTAGAGAGCACAATACATAAAACAGTCGGCTTTTCTGAGTTGATGACAGCACCCATCTCTGCACACACACCAGTCAGTCGTCACTTTACTTTGCCTACAGCTACCTGTAGCTCTTGAATACTTGGCTATCCTCAGAATAACGGGCACATATGGCGCCCGCAAAAAACCCTAACAGAGTCTCAGTCAGGTGTCATTGCGCACTTCCGGCGACTACCGCGAGTATCCTCCACGATGGTTGGGACGAGCAGCAGCTTCCGCCAGAAGTTCGCAAATGAAGTCACTGGAAGTGCGCAGTTGACACGTGACTGAGGCCATGTTTTTGGCTGCCATAATATGTGCCCGTTATTTGGAGGATAGCCCAATACTTTCGTGCTTGCGTACAAGAACATCATCTCATCATCTATAAAAACCAACGCATGGTGACTGCTTCAGCTCCGACGATAGTGTTCTTCTGATTAAACTCACCGCTGAGCGTATCCCTCGCACCGCTACGCGTGGATAGGGGGCTAAACTAGATGGCTGGGACTCCTGAGCAGCAGCTACCGCATCTCCTGCAACTTCCTCTAATTTATTTGCTCGTGAGTCCCAGTCATCTAGTTTAGCCTTCCATCTGCTCGGGGGTGAGTTTAATCGGAAGATGCGTGTGGGATACTGTCGGCGGTGCAGATAGTATAGTGTCGCAGAAACAGGTCCGCAATTAACATATCGCTGAGACCTTGGAGTATTTGTTTGCCCTTGATATTGATAATATTGGCCCGTTATTCAGAGGCAATCCTAGTTTTGTCGCGATTTGTTCCTCGGCAGGCACTCAGCATTTTACACACGACTGAGGCCCTGTTAGGGTATTTGTTTGGCCGCCATAATATAGGGACCAAGATCGGAGGGGAGTCTGATACTCTGGCTTTTGCTTGTTACTTCATTGTTACATTTTCGTGGTGGTTTATATAGTTTATAGCCACAAGTCTACAGCATACAAAATAGTAAGCATAAACACAAAGGCTTTTACATCAGTAAAAAAAAAAAAAACAAAGAAATGAAAAATTTGTATCTTAATGGCACAGACAGCACAATTTTATTTTCAAAGGGGTCGTGCCGCCGCTTTCATGATCTCATGATCATGATTCTTGTCACTACTACTCTTCTACGAGTCTACGACCGGCAATGAATTGAAACGGACTGAAATTGAAACAAGCTGCATGTTTTGCAAAAAAGCAGACATGAAAATACGTGTATACGGGATTGTAGTCACAGATTTAGGATAATAAAAACTAACTTACTCTGTTCCAGGCATAATTAATTGTTTAAAACACGACGTCTCCGACAAGTCGATCAATAAACTACAGCAGACGATCGAGCTACGTTCGCGCTCAATTTCTCATTTCCAATTCGTCACGTGACTGTATTCGCGCAACTGTATTGGTTTAATGGAGAATGAAAGAACTACAAAAATTGCAACTAGGAATCTTGGCGGAAATTGATTCGTAGCCCTACCCTGTCTGGAGCAGGGACCACTTCTCTTTGATAAAAAAAACCCATCCAAAACGAAGTAAAAAAAATTTAAATAATGTGGATACAAACTCAACTCCTATCCCAACCCCATCTAATAAACAACTCCTTTCTCCGTACACCAAATCTAATTGTATTTACCAATTTACATGTAAGTGACAGTTGACTTACATCGGCCGAACGGAGAGACAGCTTGGAAATAGAGTGGCAGAGCACATACCCAAATGGCTACATACACCATGCCTCGAGACCAAGCAGACCCCTTATAGAAAGTGAAAGAACAGGCTTCAGACTGAATAAGAGGAAATCATAAGTAGTGATAATATCACAGGAATGTGTCTAAATATATCATAAAAGCCAGTGGTATTATTTAATGACAAGTACATAAGTTGAAGTACTTAGGCTGAAGGATAACATCAGATGGAAGATGTGTCAAAGAAATAAAAAGAACAGGACAGAAAAACACTGCATTTTTTTAAATGAAGAACATCTTATGAGATAAATCCATATCATTGGAGGTAAAAAAAAAATTTCTTTTGGCGTGCTACACAGGGCTAGTTTTTACATAGGCCTATAGTTGTTAATACTGGACAATTAATAAACAAGCCAAACTATTTCTGGAGACCTCAGCGATGTGGCTTTAGAGAGGAAAGGACAGCCAGAAGCTGTTATATTTTGAAATATTTTTTTGAAAGAGCTGAAGGCCCGAAGGAAACTTATCACAAACATCAGAAGGAGACAATCCTTATTTTCAGACCATATTTTGAGAATAAGGAAACTGGAACAAGTTGTGACCACTGGAAAGATCTGTGTAAAGCAGCTGTTCTCTACCTGCCCGTTGCTACCCTTTTTTAAGTCGACAACCCTTTCACAGGGGTCGCCTAAGACCGTCGGAAAACAAATTTTCATTGAAGTTATGGAGGAAAATAATTGTTTGGGGTTCGCCACAACACGAGGAAACTGTATTAAAGGGTCGCGGCATTAGGAAACTTGAGAGCCACTGGTGTACAGAGAGACAACACGAGAAGATTCTTTACAGTTTTTTTTTTTTTCATGCCATGGAGGGGGTGACAGCACACGAACTGATGAACGCTGGTGGTGATTGCAGGTTGTAGCATAATTAATCATGACAGTCTGCAAGGCACTTGATGGTGATGAACCTCCAACGCACGTTAAATGTTAGTTGCATATCCTTTACAGAATGTTGTAAATAAACCCCAACATTTGTTGGCTGTTTGTGGCTTGCTTAGGAAATATTGCATTTAGTCGTTTGTCATTGCTATCTAAATGGTTGACGCCGCTTTACGTATTACGTGTTGTCCACGTCCTAGCAGTGTTTCTCAACATTCCTAATGCCCCTACCTTTTAATAAGTCCCTCGTGCTGTGGTGATTCTCCAAACATAACATTATTTTCGTTGCTACTTCATAACTTCAGTAAAAATGTGTTTTTCGATGGCCTTCGGCGACATCTGTAAAATGGCTGTTTGACCCCTGAAAAAAGGGTCGCAACCCCTAGGTTGAGAACCGCTGTCCTAGCACATCAGTCCGACCCATTCGTGCTCCGTCCTCCAATGCAGCAGCCATCTCAGTGTCTTCATGCTCAATGTATCCAGTAGCAGTCGACTGGCACACCTTTCTTTCTTTGTCTGCAGCTGGTTTCTTCTTCTTCTTCTTCGCTGGCTTGAGAATTAGCTGTACACACATGTCGTCATTGTAACTGACTCACAGAGCATGTTGAGAAAGGTGGAGACAGGCATGCCCTGTGTAGAGTGTCAAGCATCACTTCAAAGGTCCCGGGTAGTTAACATTCTTTGGATATTTTCTCCAGGTTATGCCAGTGTGTATGGAAATTAGCAGGCAGATACTGGCCAGTTCTGCACCACTTGGTGGTGAACTGCTGGATGTTGTGAGGGCCCTTTGGGAGCAAATCAACAGTGCAGAGGAACAGACAGATCATTAAGGTCTGAGGAGAATCGTACTGCGAATAGTCACCAGGGGATCCGGTCGACACTAGACACTCAGGGAAAAGCCGGGCGGATAAAAATCAGTTACTGGCACCGTCGGAATTTGAACTCTTTGATTGCTGCTGAAGATGAGGATGAAGCACTTATAGGAGTGTCCCGAGTTCTGTGATGTTGATTCTTAATTTAACAACATTCTTCTTCTTCTTCGCGTTTACCGGCTGTAAAGTCTGGCGGAAAGTTCTGGTTGCTCATTCACTTCTGGATTGCAGTCCTGTTCCAGAACACGAGTGTTGCTTTGCATCCGTTTACAGATCTGACTCGTTTGTATGCAGACTGCTGGTTCTTGCAGAGGCACTCAAACTTTAAAGGAAGCTCCCAATTAGTTGACTCTTACGACATGCTTTTGTATTGACAGAGGGTCTATTCTTGTTTTCCCTATAAGCGGGCCCCAGAACCCACACGGGGAAGCTCGTTCTGCATGCTTATCCTCGTTTAACCCCCTCTTCCAACAGGCGGCTCACGATCTCTGACTCTTTCGTCTAAAAGTGATGCCTAATACCAATGTCAAAATCAATGCAAAACATCTCTGTGTGGGTTCTGGGGCCCTATTATAGGAAAAACAAGAACAGACCCACTGCCTACCCGAAAGTATGTTGTAAGAGTCAACTAACTGGGAGCTTTATTCAAAGTTGGAGTGCATCTGCCTGAGAGGCTAGGAACCAACAGTCTGCATACAGATAAGTCAGATCCATCAAACGAATATGCATGCAACACTCCCCCCCCTCCCCCCCTCAAAAAAAAAAAAAACTCTTACAACATCCAGCTGGTCATACATCATTTCACCACCAAGCGGTGCAGAACCGGCCAGTCTATCTGCCTCACAACATCCAGCTGGTCATACATCATTTCACCACCAAGCGGTGCAGAACCGGCCAGTCTATCTGCCTCACAACATCCAGCTGGTCATACATCATTTCACCACCAAGCGGTGCAGAACCGGCCAGTCTATCTGCCTCACAACATCCAGCTGGTCATACATCATTTCACCACCTAGCGGTGCAGAACCGGCCAGTCTATCTGCCTCACAACATACCGGCATTACCTCGATATGTCACACAGGGCTCACAGCCTATTACTTCATTCCATATTATACTGTGCAATAAAGTTCAATATCATGGATGGAATCCAGTCCAGCAGCTTTGGCCTCTCTCATCAACATTCGTCTTAGGGTTTCTTTAGGCGTCCTTGCCTCCTTAATCCTCTTATCTTCCATATTAATGCTTGTTTGGTGATTCGCTGCTGGTTTCTTCTCAGAATGTGTCCGATGAAGTACCATTTTCTTTTTCTTATAACTGTTGATTCTAGTGGTTGCCCAGATATTTCTCTTATTTTTTCAATCCTTTTTTCCCCCTCAGACATTTGTTTTCGTATGCATTTAACTTTCGCTCCCGGCGTGATGCTGACCACATCACCCATCTTGTGCCGATTGGTCTATAAAAATATAGGTCTAGCCCTATATGCCTAAAGGCGAGGAAAAGGGTCCTTTTAACTTTCGCTCCATGTCTTTAGTGATTCTCCAACTGTCACCTGCATATGCTAAAATTGAAATAACATAAAATTGAAAATACATAACTCGGTTTTGAAACTATATGATTTAGAGTTCCATATTTTGTTTAAGCAATTAAAAGTCACTGATGCCTTGCCAAAGTATGTCTTAATTTCTTTCTTTGTATTTCCTTCACTATCAAAATTAATACCTAAATAAGTAAACCAACATATTCCTTTAATAAATTTTGTCTCAAGTGTTATATCTGCTTAATCTGTTGTTGGTGTATTCAATATATTTGTCTTTTCATAACTTATTTGTAGTCTAACCCTTGATGCTGTATTTGGTAAATCAACCGCTTTCTTTTGAATGTCATTGTTGTTTTAACTTAGCAGAACAATATCATCAGTAAAATCACGATCCACAACAATATCATCAGTAAAATCACGATCCAGAACAATATCATCAGTAAAATTACGATCCAGAACAATATCATCAGTAAAATCACAATCCACAACAAAATCATCAGTAAAATCACGATCCAGAACAATATCATCAGTAAAATTACGATCCAGAACAATATCATCAGTAAAATCACAATCCACAACAATATCATCAGTAAAATCACAATCCACAACAATATCATCAGTAAAATCACAATCCACAACAATATCATCAGTAAAATCACAATCCACAACAATATCATCAGTAAAATCACAATCCACAACAATATCATCAGTAAAATTACGATCCAGAACAATATCATCAGTAAAATCACAATCCACAACAATATCATCAGTAAAATCACGATCCAGAACAATATCATCAGTAAAATCACAATCCACAACAATATCATCAGTAAAATCACGATCCAGAACAATATCATCAGTAAAATCACAATCCACAACAATATCATCAGTAAAATTACGATCCAGAACAATATCATCAGTAAAATCACAATCCACAACAATATCATCAGTAAAATCACGATCCACAACAATATCATCAGTAAAATCACGATCCAGAACAATATCATCAGTAAAATCACAATCCACAACAATATCATCAGTAAAATCACGATCCAGAACAATATCATCAGTAAAATTACAATCCAGAACAATATCATCAGTAAAATCACAATCCACAACAATATCATCAGTAAAATCACAATCCACAACAATATCATCAGTAAAATCACAATCCAGAACAATATCATCAGTAAAATCACAATCCACAACAATATCATCAGTAAAATCACAATCCAGAACAATATC